CCGCCGCCCGGCTGCCCGCGTCCGCGCCGCTCTTCATGCTGGACCTGTACCACGCCATGGCCGGCGACGACGACGAGGACGGCGGCCCCCTCGAGCGGCGCCTGGGCCGCGCCGACCTGGTCATGAGCTTCGTGAACATGGGTGAGTGAGCGCCCCGCGCCGGCTGGCGTCGGGGACCCCGCGGGGACCGTGCGACCTCCGCGGCACGCACCCCCACGCCGGCCCCTGGGGTCCCCACGGGCTGCAGGGACGAGGGCGCCACTGCGGACTGTGGACACCGCCGCAGGGGAGTGGGACCTGGCCAGGTCTGGCGCCCAGGTCTCAGGAGTTGGGATGGCTGAGCTGTGGGATGAGGGGGGCGGCGGCAGGCAGGAAAATGGGGGGCAACCTGCACCCCGCCCCAAACACACCCCAGGTGAGAATCACGTCATGTTGGGGTGGACCTGGGCAGTCCGGAAGCGGTCTGGTCCCGGGAGATGGCTGAGTAAACACGGCGTGATGCTGCCTCTGTGATAGGGCGGCACCGCAGAGAGGCCAAAGTTCAGTGACCAGAGCCCAGAGGAGAAGCTGATGTCCTGAGCCCAGCAGCCTCCTCCCTGGACCAGAGCCCGAGCCTGGGAGGGCAGTTTGGCTGCGGGTCTCGGGTGGACCTGAAATAGACTCTGAGCTGGCTGGGTGGGGCCTCCGGTCTGGTCACCTGGGCCACACCTGGGGCATGACTGGGCATGGACTGTGTCCAGGCCTGTGGAATGGCTCCGTGGGCAGCTCAGACACTCCTAGATGGTTTCCCAGGCAGAGCCCAACTGTCCTCACGGCTGAAATTTTCCTCCAGACCCTGGAGCCATTTCCCCTTCAAGTTCTCAAACTCCCTCAGTAAACTCGTTAATCTAGAGAATATTTGCCGCCATGAGCTTTGCCTCCTTTCGTGGCCAGTGAGGGGCAGGGGCAGGGTGTGGGCTGGGCGGACACCAAGCACAGGCAGCCCCGGGCCCAGGGACTGCAGCTGCTGAGTGAGGAGAGCTGTGGGTTGCGCGCCTGGAAGCCACCCTTGCCAAGGCCCCCCTCAGCCTGCTAGTGCCTGGAGGACGCAGGAGGACATCTCCCCGAGGGGACAGTGAGGCCCAAGGGCAGCACCACTGCCAGGACAGTGCAGCCTCTGCCTGGTGGAGCCAGGAGAGACCTGGCTTTCTTGGCCCCACGTCTGGTGCTCGGGAGGAGACATTTCTGCTTCTGGGGGGCAGGCTTTCAGGGCAGAGAGCTTTCTCAGGGTCTAGGAGGGGACCCCAGGGACAGAGCAGCAGTGGGTTTTGTGGGGCCCTCAACTATTAATACTTGCCGCCCACCATAGGGCAGGAGCCCTCTGTCCCTCCAACCCAGAGCTGGTGGTGGGCAGGGGTTGGGGGGGAGGCAGCAGGAGCCAGCCATGGGTCAGTGCTGGAGCCCAGTGTCCGGCACAGGACTTAGGTCCATGGGTCCTGGGCGCTGCCTCCCTGGCTAGAGACAGGGTGGGGCTGGAGACAGATTAGCCTTAGGTGGACCAGGGCTGGAGGCCGAGTGCTGTCCTCAGGACAAGCTGGCCCAGGCTCGGACCCCTGGGTGCCCTGCAGAGCCCTGGCTGCAGTCGCTGTAGGATGCTGGAGGTGGGGTGAGGCACCAGGCGGGGCACCCAGCAGGAGCAGCCCCCTCCTGCTCCCAGTGTCTCTGGGCTGAGACCTGCCGCCCTGGGGAGCTGCCTCTGTGGCTGGAGCAGCACCTTTGCCCAGCTGGTTCCTCTCCAGCCTCTGCGGCGTGTCTTAGCAGGTCCCTCGCCCTCTCTGGACCTCAGGTCCTCCTGGTAAATGGGGATCCTAGTGGGGATGCAGCTTCAGGGGTGCTGTTTAATGGGGGGAGAGGAGCAGCAGCCAGCGCCCCTCCTAGGGGCCTGGTCACCTTCCCTCCCAGCTGCTGCCGACCTGTGGGTGGCTGTGGTGGGAGCATGCCCACATGCCCCGAGTCCGTGTGAAGGCCAGCGCCAGGTGTTAAAGTCAACCTGACGGTGTTTCTGCCTAATTTTAGAGTGAGAACTAGCAGGGAAGGCCGCAGCCTCCTAGGTCCTTCTTCGTGCGTGCCGTGGAACGTTGGGCTGTTTTCCCAGCTCCTTCCCCTGGGCTCAGAGAGGTTAAACGCAGCCAGCGCCACACAGCAGCTCCGTGGCACCACCGGCCGTGGATCCCAGCCCCAGCGTCTCCCCACGCAGCTCTACATGTTTCTTTAAGACCTGAGGCCTCTGACGCTGTGGGATTAACAAGCAGATCTTTGTTCGCGGAGGCCCGAGTGGGCGGCCCAGCCTGCCGTCAGAGGCCTTCCTTGTTCTGAGGTACTAATTGCCGGACTAGATCTCTCAGCCAGACGCAGGTTTAACTGGTGATTACCTGGGCCGTGTGGGGAGGATCAGACACCTCCCAGGATTCCTCCTCTGTCTGGGGCCAGGCCCCAGGCCCCCGAGCTCGTGGAGCCCACGCCCCGCTCCCACACCTGTCAGTCGGCTCCATCTCTCCTCTCGGCCTCACCCGACTCCTGAGACGCCAGGCCAGGTGCCTGCCAGGCCGGGGTCACCCGTGGTGGTCTGCAGGACCCAGAGGCCGGGGCCTCTCCAAGGCCCCCAACTTAGTCTGAGCAGATGCCTTGGGGAGCTGTCTTGACTGACAGTGCCTGTGGGGGTGGGGGGCCAGCCTGCGTCAGAGCCGTGGCCCTGCCTGACCCATGTGTCCCTCTCAGCCTTGTAGACTCTTGGTCCCTCGGCCACCCTCAGGGTAGCGGGTGGCCCCACTTCCATATTGAGAAACGGGGGGCCCAGGCAGCGCTGCAGATGGGGTGAAGTCACGCAGGCTCGGAATGAGTGTCCTGGCACCCGCCCTGCCCTGAGCCAGCCGGTGTATGCCTGGCCTGGTGACTGAGGACAGGAGTGTTGGTGAAGTGAGGTGGTGGGGCTGGGGGAGGCGGGGCTGGGAGGGAGCAGGGACCTGGTCTGGTCTGCTCAGCCCCGGGCCTTGGGCCCCTCGTGTGCTGCAATGTCTGTGGCTCTCTGGGAGGCAATTCTCTCACTCCTGATTCATCACTAGTTATGTGGGGCCGCTTTGTGCCAGGTTACTGGGACATGACAGCAAATGAAACCTGTCCCTGCCTCTCGGCGCTGACCTCCTGGGAGAGACCGAGGCAGACACAGGCCCGAGATGGCTGTGAAGGGGCCCAGACAGTGAACCCCTACCTGAGACCGGAGAGGTGGCAGTGGAGGACCGGCCTGGGGTGGGGCTCTCACCTGGGTCAGGCAGGATCTGCATCTGACTCAGCCACCTCCACTGAGTGTGATCTGGACTCTCCAGTCCAGCGCTGGGACCCTCAGTGCCCTTTTCACAGTACCACCCTGTGGGCTGTTGCAGGACTGTGGGAGGTGACACCCAGGGATGACCATGTGTCCAGAACCTTTTGTTCTATTCCTTCATGGGTATCTCACAATGACTGCCACTTCTCAATTTTCAAAGAAGCTGGCAAGGTTCAGAGAAGTTAGGTGATTTTCCCAAGGCCACACAGCGGTCTTCTCCCTGGCCTGCCCCTTCTGCTCTTCTGCACAGAAGCTGCCTCCCGCCAGCCGGGCCTGGCCCTCCTCAGGGCCAGTGAGTACTGCAGGCCTGAGCTGTGGTGTGAGTGGTACAGTGGGAAGCTAACTTTTAAAATATCTTTGTTTCAGAAATTTATAGAAATAATACTTGTTCATTTTAAGAAAGTAATATTGTATAGAGTCATTATACACAATTCAGACTGTGTTTAGAAACACATAACATGAAAGCCTGTGGTGCTCCTCCGTGGGCCTCAGAGAAAACCAGTGTCTGAAATCCTTGGAGTCATTACCACCCCCTACCAGCCTGGCATTTTGTTAGTAAAAATGCTAGCACTTGTATTATTATTTTTGACAAAGTAGGACAGTGATGCCACTGTTATACTACTCAGTCTTTCATTTACCAGTAAATCTATCCTTCTTCAAAAACTACTAATGATCCAGTCCTGTCCATTCCTCCCTCCCCCTCCCTGGCTTGCTTCCCACCTTTCTCGTACAGCTTCATTGACGTATAGCTGACAAAAATTGTAGAATATTGAAAGAATGCATCCTTCTTCCCCCCCTGTTAATTGACACATCCCTCCCTCACATATTATATTATCCTTATTATTTATTCATTGGTGAGAACATTTAACTTCACTCCGTTAGTGGCTTGCAGTGATGCACAACAGGGTTGTCTCCACAGTCACTGGTTCCAGATCTTACTCATTTCACAGCTGAGTTTGCTCCCTTTCATCAGCTGCTCCAATCTCCCGCACTCAGCATCCCCGGAAGCCACTTCGTACTCTGTTTCTATAAGCTTAACTTTTTTTCAGAAATCACTTGGTAGTGATACCACGTAGTATTTGCCTTTCTGCAGACACTCTCGGCACGTACCGTAGGTCCATGCGTGCTGCCCCAAATGGCAGGTGTCCTTTCTCTGGATAGCATCTCCTTGAGGGTGCCCTCACTTCTCTCTCCTTTCCCTTCTTAAAAAATTTTACTTATTCAGTTATGCATATAAGAAGTGGGATTCAGGCCAGAGATGCAGGGGTGGGGAAGTGGGAGGATTCGCCAGAGACAGTGTGGGGAGCAGAACAGGCCGATCAAGGAAGTACACTGCTGAGGGGGGCACTGAGATCCACAAGAGAGGACTGGGAGACCAATTATGGCGGCCAGAGGGTCAGCCCTGTTAACTACTCTGAAATGGGACCGCAGGCTTCCTCGTGGGCCAGCCGCTTGAGAGCTGAGATGTTCGGCAGGTTACTTCAAGTCTCCACACCTCCGTTTCCTTACCTTTAAAATCAGGATAATAGCTGCATTGTAGAGCAGCCCTTAAATGGCTTAAGGTGTTTAAAAACAGCAAGTGCTTGGCATGCTCACTGAGTGGGAGGCAGCCTTACGAGGGAGGGCCGGCTGTGCGCGCTCACTCCCCCTTCTCTCTCGGTTACTTAGCGGCCTGCAGCCCCGTGGGGACGCCAGGGGCAGGATCATGCTGTCCAGACCCAAGTGCACGCCTGGCCCTCACCCTTTGTGCTGGCTGCTGCAGAGCCCTCAGTGTCTGGAGGGTGGGGTGCTGACAGCTGAGTCCTTCTCAAGGGTGCCCTGGGCCAGGCACCCTCCCTGGGGCCGCCTCACATCCAGGACTGGCTCATGGGGGTAAGCGTATCCAGTGTTGTACCTTGCCTCGAGAAGGGACAACACTGAGGACCCATAAGCCCAGAGCGTGCGTGCAGGTAGAACAGCCTTTGCTGTGACTGTGTCGCTGCTGTGTAAATTACATAATGTTCTGTGCCTCGGTTTCCTCAGCTGTAAAATGGGAGAGGTACTATAGTTCCTGCTGTAGTATGGCTGTGAGTATTGTGTGAGTTAATCTAGTGCTGAAACAGTGCCTGGTAGAAATGCAAGAAATATTAGCTTTTCTTTTTTAAATCCAAGGCCAGGTAATTAGTGGCAAGAACCTGAAGTGAACCCCAGTTGTTTCTTTCTTGCTTTCTTTTTTTTTTAAAAAAAGATTTATTTATTTATGCATACGGAAGTGGGGTATACGCCAGAGGTGCAGGGGCGGTGAGAGGATTCACCAGAGACAGAGCAGGGAGCAGAACAGGCCGACTGACGAAGTACACTGCTGAGGGGAACAGCGGGCGGGTCAGGAGAGGTCTGCTGCACCATGTGGGTCACCTCCGGGGTGGGGATCGAACTCATGCTGAAGTGGCTTTAGCTTCTTAGTGCTGTGCTTCAACCCGCCGCACCACCAGGGAGGGCCCTGTTTCTTTTAACTGCTACCCTGTTACCTGAGCAGAAAACACCCCTTCTCAGCAGTCTGGGGCACTGAAGACAGGGGAGGGTTTTGGGGAGCTGAAGGTGGCCAGACATGGCCTAGGGAAAGCTGCCTGGCTCAGTGTAGCCGTTCCTCAGCCGAGGCACCACATACCTGATGTGTGCTGTCTCCCCTCTTGTTATCTAGGGGTGTCATGAAGGCACAGCCCCAGCCCAAGATCTACTAAGGTAGTGGGCAAGGTAGGTCCATAGACCACTCACTAGAAATGATCCAAAATGGGGGAAATATCATTCACCAATTCCACGGTGTGAGCGGGGAGGTTCAGCCCTACCAAATACAGACAAGGCTGCTCTTTCATTTTGTGGAAGACCAAAAAGAAAGGCTGGAAGGAAAAGAGAAATAACCTTCAGACTGGGGGGACAGAGAAGGCTTGGGAGGCCATGACTGTGTGCTGGACTTTGAAGAAGGGTAGAATTTAGGAGAAGTTCTGGCCTGTTCATGGGACTCCAGCTGCCCCTGCTCAGGACCTGCTGTGTGTCCCCTTCATGCAGAATGGGACCAAGTCCCCAGCCTGGCATGCAGCACCCTCATTCCAGTCCCATGACAGGATGAGGAGAAAGAAGGTGGACTCTGGAGACGGACACACCAGACTCTAAATGCTTCTGGTTGTGGCTTCACACCAATCAGTTAGCTTTCTTCAGTTTTCTCGTCCATCAAAAGCGATGAATAAAGCCTCTTTCATGGGGTACTGGGTTGCCAGCCTTCTGGGTGACTCGCAATGATCTCTGCCTCCTGGAACCCACTCCCTGTGTGGTCTCCCCCACACTGTGCCAGCGCTGTTGTGACCATTAGAATACGACAGTGGTGATGACATGGCACTTACAAGATCAGGTTATAAAAGATGGAGCCCCAGTCCGCCCCTCGCCAGCTTGCTCATTCTGGAGGAAGGCCTGTTGTGCACAGCCCCCAGGAGCTCAGGGGTGTGGACCTGAGCCCTGCTCAGAAGTGAGTGAGCTCAGAAGTGGATGTGGGAGTCCCGGGAAAGTCTGCAGATACCATAGCCCCAGCCGACAGCTCGACTGTCACCTCACAGGACATCCTGGGCCAGACCCACCCAGCTAAGCTCCTGGTGCCTGATTCTCCGAAACCGTGAAATAACCAGTGGCTGTTGCTTTAAGCTGTTTCCTTTGAGTAATTTGTTATTCAGCAAGAAGTAACTAATACAACCAGGAAGCACTGCACACGGGCAGGAGTGCTGGGCCACATGGTGCCGGATACACTCAGCGCTTGTAAAACGGGAGCTGCATGGGATCTACCTCTGTGCCTGCCTGTCCGAATCCTACCACTGATTTCAAAGGAGTTTTCTGGAAGAGTGTTCTCTGAGCGCTCTTCCTCAAGGCATCCTATGTCAGAACCTCCCTCCTTCAGTGTGTTGATACCCCTTAGATTTCTAGTCCCTGTGCTTGTCTGGTTTGGGGTCCTGTCTGACCCTTCTTTCCTCTTCTTCCAGAAAAGCCATAAAAAAAACCCGAGATCAGGACGCAACCCGAGTCTTGTGGCACCCCCGCCCCAGCCGACTCCCAGCCCTGCCCGGCAGGTGCTCAGCCACAGGGGCCAAGTTGAAGGAAAGAGGAGCGTGGCAGGAGGCAGGGAGCACGGAGAGCCAGGAAGGCCTGGGCCTGGTCTGGTGGGCCAGAAGCAGGCCACACTTGGGGGGTTCCCTCCCCTGGAGCCCCAAGTGCCTGGGGTATTCTCAGGCTGCCTGTGGACGGAAGAACCTGGTGACAGCCCCCTCCCCACGCAGCATGGCCCCTGGAGACCGCTAGGGCCTCTCGCCCTACATGGGCCTCAAGTCCGGAAGACCCGACGCGGGACCCCTGGCGCCTCTGCCCTCTGGCCCGGTCTCCCATCTGGGCAGGGCTCCCCCACGGCCACTCCAGCTCTGACCAAAAGATGAGCCCTGGTGGGGAGGCCCACCCGGCCCTCCTCGGGGGCCCGCTGTCCACGGGCAGAGGCATGTGTCACCTGGCCACACCTTTCTGGAAAGCTCACACAGTTCGGTTCGTCCCCGGCTTGAGCCGGGCGAACTGCATCCTTCTTGCTCACAGCTCCTTCGGTCTGTTTTTGGCCGTGGCGGGTTTGATGTGGTGGGGTGTGCGGGTGTTCCCTTTTAATTTGGGGTCTGAGGCCGTCTGAGGCCTGGACCAGTCATTATGAGCGTGGAGCCATTTATGGAAACCACTCTTGAAAAAGGCCCGTGATGAGAAGTGACTAAAAATACCCAGAGAGGCAGCTGGGCCACCTCTGAGGCTGACAGAGGCAGCCTGAGCCCTGAGATTTCTGGGCGGGAGAGGCCCTCAGGGAGCGGCGTCCACAGTGGTCAGCGGTGGGGCTCCCGTGGGCCACGCCACAGGGCGACCGGGCTTGTTTGGGGCCTGTGCGGGCCCTGGGATCTGTCGGCAGCAGGACGAGCCAGACAGGCCCAGCCTGTCCGCCCTGGGGCCGGGCAGTGAGAGGAGGGCAGTCCGCGGCCCAGTGAGAACACAGCACTTCTGCTGGAGACACGCTGTGACGTGGACGCCACCCCAGCCGATGCCCCACCCAAGGGCCACAGATGACAGCTGCTGAGCTGCACTGGGCACAGACCCTTGGGAGGAGGGTCAGGTCTCCTGACTGGGGCCCCCCACAGTGGGGAGGAAGGTCGGGTCTCCTGACTGGGGCCCCCCACAGTGGGGAGGAGGGCGGGGTCTCCTGACTCTGGGTCCCCACAGTGGGGAGGAGGGTCGGGTCTCCTGACTGGGGTCCCCCACAGTGGGGAGGAGGGCCGGGTCTCCTGACTGGGGTCCCCCACAGTGGGGAGGAGGGCTGGGTCTCCTGACTGGGGTCCCCCAAAGCTGGGAGGAGGGCCGGGTGTCTTGACTGGGGTCCC